TGAAAGCACAACACAACAGCATTTACATTCCTTTCAGCTGAAACAGATGAACTGCCACCATGTCTGCAGAAATAGAGGAGCCCGCTACTACCCGGAGCGGTGGCTGAGGCTCGGTAATGCTCCCGCCTGACTTCCTGGGAAGGAGAGGGGGACAAGGACAGGAACGACTTTCGAGTCAGGAGGTGACAAATGAGATGTCAGTGCCGTAACGTATCGGGTTCCCTCGCAGCACGCTGAAGGTGTATTCGTGACCTTTCCAGCCGTGGCATTTGCGTGTAGATGACACCTCTTGCATACCCTTTTTAAAGCGATCCCTAAGAGCGTTGGTTTGGGAAGACACGGAGAAGAGAGGAGTGGGTTTTTAAAGCTAGAAAACATCCATTAGGAGGCACAGTGTTATTTTTCCCTTCGACCGTCTGGGCTCCACGCTTCCACAGTCACTCACACGTTTCTGCTGCACAGCCCTTGCAGCAGAGGGCTCCGGTTCGCTCCTCCCCGTAACGTACAGATGGTGACACGAGTCAGATCCTTCGGGCAAATCCTTCCAGCCTCACAGACACACGGTGTGTGCTTCTTCCGTAATGAAAGATTATTTAGTCATGAAACTCGACGCCGGACCTGGTTCATAGCGATCATTTAACTACAAATCCTTCTGCTGCCCTCGCAAGGGCAACCGAGATACCCAGTAGCAACATATACACATACATACAGATCTACACTATACACCCGGGATGACACAGAATGAGAGTTGAGCTAATATAGCCTCTATTTGATGTCCTCAGAGCAGCACTCGGGTCCTCGTGATTCCTATACAAAACAGCAGTATTTTTTCCACCAGGATTTGGAGAGGTTTTTCATTTTGTCTGGAGTCCTACACTTGGATTTCTTTGGTTGCTGCTGGGTATCCGAGTACTGAATCCCAGCCACGATGGCCGCATCAAAGACCTCCTTGAGGTTTTTCTGAGTCAAAGCCGAGCACTCGATGTAGGACGCGGCTTTTATTTCCTCGGCACAGAGCTTCGCAGCCTCCTCCGAGACGGGCTTCTCTTTGCACTTGTCCAGCTCGATGAGAACTTTGACGTCCTCCCGCAGGTCTGACTGCGTCCCCACCAGGATGATGGGCGCCTTGGGGCAGTGGCACCGGATTTCGGGAACCCACTTCTCACTCACGTTCTGGAAGGACGAGGGGCTGACGACGCTGAAGCACAGCAGGAAGATGTCCGTGTTGGTGTAGCACAGGGGCCTGAGCTTGTCGAATTCATCCTGCACAGAACAACATCGTGTTAGCACCCGGCAGAAACAGCGCTGGAGGATACCCTGAGAAGCATCAAGCCTGCTGCTGATGCTTGGAGAAGCTGAGGCTCACCTCCTGCAGCCTAAGAGACCTTAGCACCCAGGCCACAGGACAAGGTGCATCAGTAGCAGCAGCCACATGTGCTAAGCCTGAGGTCTGGCTCTGCACTGCTGCCAGCGTGTGGACACCCTGCCACTATCAGGCACATGGAAGGAAGGTGCTGGTTTCCCCACCTGGCTGAGATTTCCCAGCCGGAAACATTTTTAAACGCGGTGCCTACTTAACAACATCCTCCAGGAGATGGGAATAATTTCCCTGCCATTGTGCCCAGGGATTTAAATCTGATGGCAGCAATAGGGAATCACAATGCGCAGGCTTAACATGCCAATGGCATGGAATAAGAGCTTTACCTTTCCCTCCCAACCATGCCACATCAAACAAACTGCAAACAGGCCTCCCAGTGCTACCTGTTCTTTTTTTTTTTTTCCCTCCTTCCCTCCTCCTTTCAGAGCAAACTCCAGCAAAGCAAAGCCCTTTTTCAGCTTCAGGAGGTAGCCACAAGGAAGCCTAAAGGTAACAAAGGACTCTGCCACAGGCAGCAGCTAGCGAAGAATGCAGCAACAAGCAAGGGTTAACTCCACGCAGCCTGCCTTTATGCTGACAGCAGGATAAAAGCAGGGTAACACTAGCAGCCTGAACAGGTAGGATTTGCCTCAGCGGCGGTGACATTTTAATTAAAATGGACCGTGTTCTCAAAAGCTCTGAATTTAAAGCGCAAAGAACAAACACAGCTGAAAACATCTCTCCAGTACCGGCATTTTACTGCTGAACTGTGAGTCACAAGTTAATTTTCAAGATGTGAAATTTTGCTCTACAGCCTCTGAAGGCCCAGGATATGCAGTTTAAAGCCCACTGGAAGCCTCAGAAGTCTCGTTCCACTCGAATGAATTTCTTCCAGCAGTAACTCTCGGAGAGACAGCAATTTATAAAACACGAGTCAAGAAAGCAAGCTTCATTAGCTCTCTTGATTCCCAGATTAAGCCTCACAGGAAACCAGGCTGTCACCATTTGGCTTGAGAGAAACTCGGCGTTTAGTGAGCTGCAGCACTGAAGGACAGGACCATTTGCGGAAAGGCACCTTGCCACGGAATTGCCTCTCCTCACAACATGAGAAACCTCAACGAGGCTCGATTCAATAGGCTGGAAAGCCAAACCCAGATCTTAAGGGCTTCTAACCCAGATGAAATAATACCCTTTATATTCCAAGTGCACTCCTACGGTTTCGATGGTAGTGCACGAACTGCAGGGACTCTACACCTTTTTAGGCTGCTGACACCGAAATATCTACAATTTTTCAGGTGCAGATTTCAGCACCAATCTCACTGGAGCACGGTCTTGCAAAGCAGCCAGCCAGGTACGTTTTATTCAAGACAACTTCGATTGCTGTAGTAACCCCATTTCTAAGGGGGCAACTCCCCTGTTCCGGCTACTCTGGGACAGAGCAAACACCTCAACCGCTTAGGGCAGCAAAGGCAAGAGGCCACCAGCCCTGCCGCTCCCTCCTGCCACCAGGGGCTGCCCTGCCCTGGGCACTGCCCTCCCAGGGGCTGTCACCCTGCCACCACCGTGCCTTCAGCTGCCTCATTCCCGCGGTGAGCACACCCAGCCACCGCGTCATTGCTCGCTTCTGTTATCTCACTTCGTATCATCACCTGCAGAAGGCTGCTCGCAGGCTTTTAGCTGCGGTGTGCAGGGCAGATCAAACAGTCCCACAGCGCTGCCAGGGCTGCGCAGCCCTTCAGGCTCCTTTACGAAGCGGGGCACCCAGTTAAAACCCATATAAATAGGATTGTACGTTAAGGCCACCAAGATTTCTCCATGGGGTTTCGGTGAAGGCACAGACCCGGACCCACAAAGCTGTTCACGAACCCAGCTCCCATCACCTTCAAATGCGAGATCGGTAGCAAAACATTTTTAGCTGTCCAGGCTCAGCCCCTCCCAAGCTGTGCTGCACACGGCTTAGGGTGTTACGAGCCAGCGGGGTGCAGAAATACAAGAAATGGGTTCTCCCAGCAGGCAAACTAGGAGCTGAGAGGCACTAGCCACCCCCAGCCCCGCAGGAGTTAGTCAGGTTAGGGGCAGCAGCATGTCTTACGGGGGGGAAACGGCAAATGTGAAGTCTGTACAGATAACACCAAATAGGATTTTTTTCTCCCTTAAGCTTCTGCCCCTTTAAAAGTGCAGTGTCCGTCTGTGCGCACCTACAGCGGTGAACGCTTTGTCCCAAACACCTTCATTTTAAAATCCGTAGCTATTTGGCTAAAAACAAACCCAGTGACAACCTCTCGAGGAGAAAACCTTGAGGTTTTCAGCCTATTCAGAGGCTGACAGCCCTGAAACCCCAGACCTTTCAGCTCTCCTGCCAGGCAAAGCAGAGCAGCAGCCGTGCCCCGTCCCGGTGCGGAGTCGCAGCACTCGTGTCCCCCACCCCGCAGCAGACCCCAGGCAAAGCAGCGGGCAGGGAACGAGGGAGAAGGGCAGCGGCTTCACGGGGTGCTCAAAGCCACCAAGCCCCTGGCAGGACCCCCCGGCCGTCCCCTCCCGCTGCCACCTGCCCCGAGGAGGCGGCTGCACTGACCTGGCCGGCCGTGTCGCAGAGCTGCAGTCTCACCGGCTTGCCGTCCACAGACACAACAGCTTGGGGGAGAGAGGAGAGGGGAAAGCGTGGTGAGTCCAACTCCGTGGTGAGTCCAATTTTCCATTAATGAAGAAAAAAAATAGGAGAGGGGAAGGACCCCGCTGCCCGGGACTGAGCTCCTTATCCCCTTATCTGTCCTCGGGACGCCCCCAACCCCAAAACGGAGCGGCTGCGGGGCAGAAGCAGCAGCAAAGCCTCACAGGTTGGCAGGGACACAACCCCGGGGCAGGCTCCAACTTTCCTCCCGGCTCCCAAACCCCCCCCGGCGCCCCATGTCCTTACCGGAGAAGTTGTCGAAGGCGGTGGGGATGTACTCGGTGGGGTACCCGTTGGTGGTGTAGCTCACCACCAGGCTGGTCTTGCCCACGGCGCCGTCCCCCACCAGCACGCACTTGATGCTGCGCCTCGGCTCGCTGCCGCCCCCGGCCCCGGCTCCGCCGCCGCCTCCCCCGGCCCCGCCGCCGGCCCCGCTCCCCGCCGCCCCCCGGCAGCGGCCGCCCAGCGCCGCCCCCAGCGCCGCCGCCGCCCGGCCGCTGCGCACCCTGCGGGGGGGCACCGGCGGCACCTCGCAGCCTGCTTGTGCCACCGGCTTGCCGATGTAGCCCGCATCGCCCTCCTGCTGCGGCGGCATCCGGGGGGCGGCCGGCCCGGCCCCGCCACCGGGGGAGCGGCGGGACGAGGACGAGGACGAAGAGAAGGAGGAGGCGGCGGGCAGGCGGTGCGCAGCCCCGGCGGGGCGGCAGGAGCGGCGCTGCCGCCGCGAAGCCAGCCCCGGAGCAGGGAGGGAGCAGCGAGCCCGGCTGCGCTGCGCCCGCCTCGCCCCGCGCTACCGAGTCGCGGCCGGCGGCCCCGCGGCGCCGCGTGACATGGCCGGGGCGGGGAGGGGCCGCCGCCACCGGCACCGCCCGGCGCGGCACAGCGCGGCGCGGCGCTGCGCGGAGCCCTAGGGGGCGCTGCCGCGCAACCTGCCCGGCTCGCCGCCGCCGCGCGCTCATTGGTCAGCCCGCGCCCGCCGCGCGCTGCTATTGGTTAAGGCGCGGGGGGCGCGGTGGGGAGGCCCCGCCCAGCCCCGCTTGCCGTGGGGAGGGGGTCGCGGGGCGGGGGCTGCGCGGGGCACGTGTGGCGGGAGGGGCAGCGGGTGCTGCGGGCACCGTGTCCCCGTAACGCCCCGGCTGGGGTGTGCTGGTGGCAGCCCCGAGCGGGCAGGGCATGGTGGTGGTCGCGGGGCTGGGCTGAGCCCCCGTTTGCAGCCCGGGGTCCCCGCTCAGTCCGGTTTGGTTTTTGTGGGTCTGAGCGTCGGCTTGGGCACGGTGCTGCACGAGGCGAGGCCAGGCTAACAAAGGCAATGTTCCACCTTCCTTCCTAATGCACTGGTGCTGGAAGCCGGCATAGAGCAAATATCCCAGCTTCAGCCACCAGTGTGTCCGGGCACGCTGAAGCCACGACAGGTTTCTGTCCGTCCTGCCTGATGTGCCAGCCGATGGTGAGCAGACGCGCTGCCATCCCCAACACCGGCATCAAACACACCCCGGCTGCGGGCACGAGGCTGGCTGAGCCTCCCTTACCTTACCACCCCTTACCTGCAGCAGCAAGCAGCACGTCCCCACCCTGCATCAGCCCTGCAACGAGCCCTCGTTCAGCGCAAAGATGCGCGAAGACGAGGAGGACTCCCGTAGGTGGGAGATGACTACAACTGTCCGCTTTGTTTCGGGGCCGGGGGGCGGGAGCGGGCTCGGAGCTGCATGGTTGTGCCATACCGTAATGTGCCCTACGGAGCACAGAAGGCTTTTGTGCAAGAGGATGATCTAACCCATTGTTTGGCAGGGGGGTGCAGCGGGTCGGAGCAGCCCCCGGTGCTGGCGGTGGGCTGAGGGCTGGTCCCGAAGGGATGCTGCCGCCGATAGCCGCTGTCACCGAAGCCTTCGGCCACGGCCCTATCGCACGCGCACATCTCGCAGGTTTTAACGCGGTTGTTTTCCGAGCTCTGAGCCGCGGGATAAACAGGCTTAGCTCCACGTAGGTCAACAGGGGGGCCGCTGTCTGTCTCGGGGCTGAATCTGGTCCATTATCAGTTCACAGAAAAGCTCCTGCCCTATCTTCCGTGCTCGTGTTAGTCAAATATTATTCTTCGAGAAAAATGACAGACAGAGGAAATTATGTTATCAAGACGTGAAGTAGGTCATTGTTATATCCCGGCTTATCATTTTCCCTGCGATACATAAAATACAAACTGGGTGCTGGCCTTGTAGAATGAAAGCTTGCTTTTTTTTTTTTCTTTTTTTTTTTTTTTTCTGTAGAAACTTGAAAAGCCTGACACGGAGAGAGGCGCGGGAGTGAGGCGGCGCGCTCCGAGCATGACGTGATGCACTGCTGCTTGTGCAAGGGAAGGGTACAGCCTGCTCGGCGGGGCCGTCACCGAGATCCTGTTCTTTGTGAGAGGAGCAACCTGGAAAAAAGCCATCTGCAACGCACCCCTTCTTTTTCCAAAGAGTGGGATCGTGGTGACGTTGCTGAGCTGGCCGGTGGCTGGGGAGATGGGAAGGAGAGAAAGGGGAAGCACAAGGGAGCAAAGAGAGGGCAACCAGCTGGGAAAGAAAAAGGAGCTTGTATAAAGGACGGGTCTGACCTGCTCTGACTCCAGAGAAGTGCTTTTGAGGCTGCCTTTTGAAAACTAGGAGCGAATAGGGCTAGGGAAGTACAAGATGTTACTGTTTTCATTATGTATTTCATTTGTAATTAAAAACTGTAAATATATATATATTTTTTTTTATTATTATTATTTTTTTTGCCAGGGCTTTTTTAAAGAACATTTTCATCACCCAAGATATCGATCTCAGGCAAGTTTTCACTACCTGGGGAAAGGGATCAGTAAGCAGCAGACATTATTAACACAATAATCTCTCCCCACCCCTCAAGCTAAACTCTGACTGAGGAGACGCTAACGCAAGCTCAAAGGCAAAAAGGCTTGTTGAGATAAACCTGAAAACAAAATAATACAAAACAAAACAAAGCACAATTGCTTCGAGCCTCCCAAATTCCTAATTAATTCAGAAAACAAATTAACCCTAGCCTCCTATCTGCAGTGCCTCTGCAGGGGCATCGCTGTGGGAGGTGATCCCTTTATCTCACTTTTGTCGTCCTTTCTAGCCCATCTCGGACCACTGCTGAGAGAAGGTGCTCCATGTCCTGTATGTGGTGTGATGGTCACCCTTTAGTTTGCTTGTCCTGAAGCCCCTCGTCACCCCAGGGCTGTCCCACACCCCTCTAGGCACGCTGGCCATGGGCTGAGCAGGGACAGAGCAGTGGCCCCTGGGCATCTGGGCACTGATGGGGACAGGCTGGGTAAGATCTTGGCAGTGGCAGAGAAATGTCCTGGTAAGAAAATAACGTAAGATTTCACTTTTGCCACACATCTGAATTCAGGAACTGAGCCTGCCTTGCTTGTGACTGCCCTGTGACATTTTGCTTTGCTTCGACTCATGAGGACTTGTAACACGCCGTGCTATTTCTGCCCCGGGAGCCCCGGGTTGCAGACAATCTGGAGAGAGGGAGTAAAATCCCAGCACCAAGCCAGACAGTTCAGATGAGAGAGAAGCAGAGAAGAAAGCATACTTTGGCAGTGTGCTGCACATCGCTGGGGATGGCAAGAGTGGCAGAGGAGAGAGCTGAGGGGGAAATGACACCCGGGTTGGACACACATCCCTGAGGAGCTGTGGCAGAGCAGCTAGCACTGAAAGCAGGCACTGTATCTGCAGCACAGATGCTTTTTGCCACACTGCCCATGGGCCTGTATGTGAAGCCCTTTACTAGCGTGTTTTGTTTTTTTTTAGCTGGCACAACCTTACTAGTTCCCTACGTGGACTCCCAAAACAGCTCCTAGCCCACCATGCTCCTGTTCCCTAATAATAATAATATAATGCTGACTGCCATCTTAGGGTGCTTATAAAATATGCCTGGGTGAGGCTGAAAAAGTCACCAGCCAGTGTGAACAGAGATCAGTGCCCCCTGGAGAGCTCTTCCCCTGCTCACCACCATGGGGTACCTCTGAGGGCAAATTTGGGTGGGCCATACACGTCCTTCCAGGTGCCCACATCTCACAGGGGGTGACACCAGCTTCCTAGCTGGCTTGACCTCTGCCACCAGTGCTGGGAGGTGAGGGGGCACAGAGACCCCTGCGCTCTGAGGGATGCTCCTGCTCTCACCTCTGCGCCCACTCTCCCACATGAAGCTTGCCCCAGCCAGCAGGGCTGTGTGGTCATGCCTGCACGGGTGATTTGGCCCAGGCATTTTTAGTTGGTTCCTTCTACTTTACTTTTTCTACTTTAATTTTTCAGACTTTACTAAGTCTGAAAAACAATGGTTGCTCCTTGTGCTATCTCCTTTGGAGCTGGCTGCTTCCTCTCAGTGTCAGACTTGGACGAATCCCATGCCAACTGCTGAAAAACCTCTCCCTTTCCACTTTTAATAACCTTTCCCGAAAGCAGTTGCTAGGATCTTGTTGGTGGGGATTAAAAGACTCGGAACAATCCAGCACAAGTGTCAGTTTTATTGAAAGTGAGCAGACTGTGCTTCCCCGATCGCTGCCCTACTTACAGCCCAGAGGTGCACTGCGGGACAGCTTCCACAGCCGAGCAGAGGAGAAGAGAGCCACGGCTCCTCTGTGCTGCATGGCAAAACTAAGACAGGAAAGTAAAGGGCAGGCAGGATTCAGTCTGTGCAGAGCCAACAGACCTCCCCATGCCTCAGCATTCAGCTGGGCTTCAAAAGGGTTGCCAGGACGGTGCTACCAGTAGGCCACTACAATGCAAGGCCACTTCTCCTTCAGCTTTAAGGCTCTCCATGCCTTTGAAAGAGAGTATCAGAGCAAGAGGGACAGAAAGGCTGCAGCTCCCCTGCTCTAAGAGTGAAGGAGGGGAGCTTTGAGTGCCCGATTCTGTTAGCTATAAATGCAAACCGCTAACACACTGGAGCTTTCCCACTGCAGTGAAGGCACTGGGAGTGGGAGATTAATAGGTTGCCGGCTGTGTCGGTATGATAAGCCAGGCAAGGACCCCGATGCTTTTGGTTGAAAGTGGGTTGAAACCTCAGCAGAGACACAGGGCAAATCAGCACAGAAGCCACACATGGAAAGCTGAGCGAGGCACCATGGGCAAACGTTTCTTATCTTTAGCTTACGTCAATAGGAATGGCAACGCAAAAGAGGCAGCAAAGTATTTAGTAGAGAGGAGGAGGAAGAAGTCCCAAAGCCTTTTTATCTGTACTTGTGATTTATAAAATGCTACTGTTGTCCTCAGAAATTTTTCAATGAAAATGAACAGGCAGAAGCACTGAGCAAGTTCTTCCACAAGGCTGTTTGCTTCCTTGGGTGAGTTTAACCCCATCGTGCCTGCAGGAACACTCCCTGCCAGGACTGCCACGTCCCAAAAGCAGCTGAGGAAGAGCAACCTATTAAACAGCACAAAACACAGCTGCGATAATTACCCCACCTGGTCTGATCTGGTGTGAAATAGGACTCGGGGAGAGGCAGAACCCAGGAATCTGGGGCTGTCTGCAAGGTGATGCTGCAGCCATCTCCCCATTTCCCAGAGCTCCTGCTTTTCCAGCAGCCTGTCCCAATTACCTCCATTGACTTTTGCTTTGCTTTCTGGCTTTACTGTTTTCATTAAGGCTAATTAACAGAAGAGTGGATGAGGCCCAGATTTCTTGGGAGGATTTTTTGTTGTTGTTGTTGTCAGTAATTTTCATTTTGCCAAGTTTCCTTTCTGCTTTTAAACTGTTTTGATAACAGCTGAAAAACATCTTTGCTACCAGAGGCGGTGCCGAGCAAGGAGAAGACTCAGCAAGGATAACAGCAATTAGGGAAAGGCCACAAGCAGGTTTCACCTCCTCGGTGGGATCCAAATTTGCCTCCCCACCCTGTGTGCGCAGTGGGCCCTGGCTGCAAGGCGCGGATATTGCCTCCACGTAGGAGGCGTGCAGGTGTCAGCCAGAGGTGAGACGGGGAGAACAAAAGGCTGGTGTAAACGCAGCTGAAGGCTTACAGCCTGCATCCATATGGCCCAGCCCTTACCCCTGGGTTATAGCCCAGGGTGGGCTCAGCCCTAATCCAGCCACCAGCTCTCTGCAGCTGCGCTGCTTGGGGCAAGGCAGCGGCAAACCCACACCCGAGGTGCGCAGGGGGCTCTTCCAAACGTGCCTAGGAGCTTGCCCTGGGCAATGCTAAGGAGCTCTGGAAAAAGGTCCCATTGTGACTTTTCAATTAACAAAATAATGGTATTGCTTATGAAAATCTCAAAATAGGGTTGTAGATAAAAGGGTGCATTTTCACATGAAACTCTTGGCTCAAGCCTCAATGTATGAACGCAGATGTTCCGTACTCACTGTCCCTGACCCCATGGTGATGAGCATGATACAAGAGCAGAGGCGGATGATGAACCAGCAGCTAAAAGGCTGATCATCATGCCAGACAGCCTAGGGAAGGTTTTCTGCCCCCGAATCCCTCCATATGACCTGCCACCCCCACAGGGACGAGCTCTCGTCCCCACAGAGCAGGAGCTGCACCCAAACCACTGTGAACCATCCTGTGCCACCCCAGCTCCCAAAACGTGCCCGGGTGCTGGCTGCATGAGCACTGCTTTGCTCTGGGACAAACTCCCCCAGGGACCACGCCAGACATTTAGCAGCACAGGCAGGGCTGCTCTGCGTTGTTAATTAGCACATCTCTGCCACTGGGGCCTCGCAGCCACGCAGGCCTCCCTTGCCACCCCCTGTGAAATTGTTCCACGCAGAGCTGCTGAGCTCTGGCTGCCGCCTCCTTTTCCTGACCAGGGTCATCTCCTTGCTCCCCCCAGCCTGCTCAGCCTGTCCTTGGCATCTTCCTGCTGCTTTTTGGGGGTTGAATTTGCAGAGCATGGCTGTTTTCTGTGCAGGGCCTCATGCGGATAGCCCAGGCTGTGTGCCTTGCTGCCAGCCTGGCTGCTGCTGCTGCCACAAATAATGGGGTGACCAGGTCTAAGGCAGGCTGCCTTGCAAGAATATAATGATCCTAGTAGCCAGCTTGCCAGAGGGAACAAAGAAATGATTATAGGTTTGGGGAAAAAAATAAGGAAAAGAAAACTAAAAGAAAACAAAGAGCCATTGACAAGAGGGACAAATTAGTTAGGTCTTAAGTGTCATTCTCCATCTGATAAAACAAAAATGTCCAGAGCAACTATTAACAAAAAAGAAAAGAAGAAGAAAGAAAGAAAAAAGAAAACAACTCTACAAAACAAATCCCCACAAAAACATGAAGGATAAAATACCTCTGTTTAGCTCCAGGTACTGACTATTCACAGAGCTCTTTCTCCTTTCGTGCTTTGGGTTATCTTATTTCCCAGTTAATGTGGAGCTGGTGCATGTTTACATGCACATGGTGCAGGCCCACAGCTCTGGGCCTGGCTTTTGTGAAGCCTGCACCCCCAGCAGTCTGAAGGGAAGCAAAAGAGCAAAGTGGGTGCAGTGCAAAGAGGAATGTGCTTTGGCTGATCCCATGAGATAGGTCTAAGGGATAGGGCTGAGAGCTTGAGAAGGACTCAAAGCTAGAAACAACTCCAGCAAGTGGTTAAGGACGGAAAGACAGCACTGAATAAAAGCAATGCAGCAGGGAAGGACAGATGTGGAGGGTGATGTTCTGGGCTGCTCGGGGCAGACTGGCTGTCAGTGACTCACTTTCAGGCAGCACGGGGAAGGAAGGAAGGACGAGTTGCCCCTCCCGG